ACTCGAGGTAGGACCTCTTGTCAGTCCGCACGGGTAGGTACCATCGCCCTGCCTATTTCTGCCGTTTAGCAGTAATGCATTTCGGTTTGAAGGGCGGGGCAGCCGTAGTAACTATACTGAGGCCTTAGAATTTATATCTAAAGGTTGGTGTCGCATTTACGTTGTAGATGTCTATGGGCTCCAGGTGAGCTATGAGCCACACATCTAAGCAATAAATAAATAAAACTGGCCAGTTTCACAATTCCAATAATTGAGAAATAATTTTCCAAGCACCCCTGAATTCCGTTGTCTGACGAGTTATGCTTCTCATACATTTGTCGCGGCGCTTTTTGTTCGATTCTTGGCAAGGTTACGTTGTTTAAGCTGCTCTGCAGGTCCCGTTACGAAACTTGTTACCGGACAAAAGAAAGTGCAAAATATACGGTCGATACAAACGCCGTTTTGTGGCGCTTTTGTTGTGTGTCTGTGTGCACCAGAAGTAGCTGAAGTTTTATTTTGTTCATGAACAAGAGTGGTTTCTCCTCCCAATTCGTTTATCTGGTTTTATTCTATTAGGACCCCTTTCATTGTACATTTTATTTGTTTGATTACTGTTATGGGTGTACTGATAATAAAATTCTGTTAGTATTGTTAAGCACTACAGATCAGGTTAAGTGTTGAGAAGTCGGTAAAGCTTTTATTTCTATTTAACAGTTAAATTTAAGGAGACTATTCATATTATATTTATAGGTATTTAAGGAGAAATATGAAGACGTCAGAGCCTAAAGAATAATGCGAGTGATGTAGTAGTAGATGTAGTACAAATAAATATCTTCCGCGACGAAGGAATAACAGCGTCTAATAAAAGTTAGATTTCGCAAAATCTTTTTTTTATGAACGAAGGATTACTGGTGACACGAAGACCTTTCCAGTTTCACGAGGGCAGGTGGGCGGGTACAGGCTCATCCAGGAGAGACCACAAAACCTATAAAGTGTATGTAAGTGAACTGGTAATACGTCCTGTATTGGAAGCGCACATGAGTTTGTATTACTACCTTGCCTATTTCTCCCGCCAAGCATGATTTCCTGTCGGAAAGATGAGGTAGACTCTGTACAATTGAAACTTTGACTTCATATCTCATGGTGGGTATTATTTTTCAATCAGAGATCCTAGGATTAAAGCACATAACTTATTTACTTTGTATACCTACCTATCCATAAGCAGAAAAGTGTGGAGCGTTGAAATGGGCAGATAATCCTGAGGTAATCTTACGCTAGGAGCTACAATTCAAATTTTGTTTCGTTGTATGGAGACTATCTATACTTCTATACTAATATATAAATCTACAGTGGTTTTTACGGATGTTCCGTTATAACTACTGAACCGTGCATCCGATTGAATTGAAACTTGGTATCTATGTAGAAAATACATTTACTTAATGGATAGGCTTATATTTATATGAGTGTTGGATACCCTACACCAGTTGCGGGGGCGTTAATGATGAAAATCTTTGTGAGGGTGAGAAATAATAATCTTAATTTTAAATGCCCAGCGAAGCGGACTGTTACAGCTAGTTAATAATATAAAACTGCTAACAGTCCCATTATTTGAACATATCCATTTTATATGATATCATTTAATCCGATCTGTGTATGATATCTCTCTAATAACATATTTGAAAATTATAGCTATCGATAACCACTGAGAGAGAACGTTGTGAGCGATAAAAAATCCATAAAGACTGTTCAATTTGTAAAAGCCATAAAATTACAAATACAGTACATGAAATGTAATATAAAAGATCTCGTAACGTCGGATGCGGCGTCTAAAGAAATCGTTCGGGTCAAGGGTCACAATATCACTAAAATGCTGTATCAGGCAAAAAACTCTTCACAGTTATATAAATGGCACAAAATCGTGTTTTACGATATATTTCGCATGAAGAAGCTCGGCGGGCGATCTCCTATTTCGAACGATAAACTATGAAATGGACAATGCAATATTTAGGTGGATTTTAGTCGTGTATTGCTGTGGAGACAAAATATCGTCTTCTCGCATTAAAACTGTATAATCTCAAAACTTACTAATTTTACAGGAGAGTGCTTTAAAGGCTTAATACTATGTGACATTTTTAATATTAATCATATTTGCAACATTTATTTTTACTTTTTACCGGTTACATTATCTGTCTTTTAAAGTAAGATAAAATTATGTATTAATTATGTTAATGATAGTCAAAATAGAGGTAAACTAAAAAAAAAACTAAAACAAACTACGCTCTTTTGACAGTATTTATGGAAAAAATACTGGCGATACCAAATGATACCGCATATTATTTCAATTTCGAATATTTTTGGAGTACACTTTTAATGTGAAAAGACGATATGTGACCATGGTTTCCATGACAGTGAGTGGCAACTGCTGCTCTTAGACATCAGCAATTAGATTGTACCTCCAGTTCAAGCACAAAACAAGCATATATTAATGGGAAATATTACTTTACGGGCCCCATGAATAAGTTTTATTCTGATTTTAAAGGCTTTGACAAATGGTTTAAGAGACATTTTGCGACATTTTTCCGATAATAGGAATCAGCCATTTGAAGTTTAAAATTTGGAAAAAAATATTATAACCAAAAAAATAATTCTGCTATTTCGTATTGTATTTTAGTAGTAGTCGTTATAGTAAACTTAATTGAAGTTCAATTAAAAATATCGAACTAATATCAAATAAGACGCTAATGCGAGTTATAATGCACCTTATAACGAATTATTATTAAAACTATCCCAGTTTAAGGTGTATAATTTATAAAGTATAACGATGTAAGCAAGCAAAAGCGCAAGATAGAGTATCTCGGCCACGTGCTCAGGAACGATCGATACATGCTGCTGCAGCTGATAATTATGGGCAAAGTGGACGGAAAGAGACGTGCTGGGCGAAGAAAAAAGTCATGGCTCCGGAATATCCGGGAGTGGACCGGTATTGCCTCCGTCGAACAGCTGTTCCGGCTGGCTGCTGACAGAAAGGAATACAGAAAGCTAACGGCCAACCTTCAGGATTGAAGAGGCACTGGAAGAAGAAGAAGAACGATGTAAGATATATTTCATTGGTGCTATATCGACTGACAGCTTTTCGAAAAACATCGTGGTTGCTAGGCAACGTCTCTGCCGCTCCGCCCGCATGCATGCCCCTCTAAGACCCACGAGTAGAATAAATACGGATGTGCGCGTTTTAACCTTTAATTACAAAGATAAATGTCTATACATCTTTGCTGACTTTTTTAGTCTCGTCGATCCACAGAATCATTAAAAGCCAATCTGGCGTGCAATGGTAACTTGACATTATAACTTAAACAAACAATTATGAGAGGTAACCAAATATTTGGGTGCTGTAGCTTTCGTGAGCCTCTACACAATTCAGATTTTGGCTCTTTGTCTGGAGACAATGAAAGCGATCGTCTTTTAAATAGCTCGGACATTAACAGGCACCCAACACAAAGGCATTCAGTTGACGGGACCTCAAAAAGCCGTCCATTTGTACGGGTCACCATCGTACCGGTTATACATCCAATATTTGGGATTGTGATCAAACTGGCCGATATTATAGACCCGGCTTCAATGAGAAAATCGTTTGCTTACGACTTCTACTTAAAGGTTATTTTCTTGGAATATTTTGGAAATTCTACAGGCAACATACATATATAATAATATTTTAACAATCATGTATACGCAGACGGTTGTAAGCAAAGTTACAGCGGAAAGAATAATTCGGAGTCAAAGTGGGAAAATAGATTCCTTTCGATTATTAAGTTTTTACTGTTCACTATTTTAATAAAATCACTGTTCTAATAAAACCTATGTCAGTTTTAATAAGTTATCATTAAAAACGCATGAAAATAACAACAATACAATAGATGCATTGAAACCAAACCCCTACGATACCGTATGAGTAGAAACGCAAAATATACATACCACTGTTATTATAATGGTAATAAAACGATGAAAAATCAGTACAAATTATCTAATCGCATACAATAATTAGGATAATAGGCTGTTTAATAATAATAAAGATAGAGAGGGTATGAACACACAAGTTTTTATATAAATCTTAGTTATTCTGAAACAAGTTTGTTTTGTTAGATTGTATTTCGCGGTACTTAACTCAGCAGGAGTTTCACATAAATAACAAAAAACTTATCCAAAATCGATAAATAAATGAAATTGTAAGGGTCGAGGGAAGAAATTTGGTTGGCGGACAACACGGTCTCGCGGAGGCACTTACAGCGTTCCTAAACCACTCCGGCTGGAGTGGTAGAGGTAGCTTCTGGGATCCAGAAGCTACCTCAGTAACGCCTTAACTTCAAGTGTTCTGGCGTGCAAGAGAGATTTGTTTTGGAGGAGCTCTTGGGAGTCACCATCAATACGCTTGTACATTTCACGAGTTAGTTTCCGAACGAACCCCTCAAGCGTCTCCGGGTCCTGAGCAATTAAGTCATTTCTGTCATAGCGTCCAGCTCCAACTACCGGCCGGAGAGACAGCTTCTGCTGGGCTTACAACTGTACCAGCATGCAGTGAAGCGTGAGGCGATGCCATTTATCAAAAAAGAACAAATCTTTCCCCGCGCTAATGATATTACTCGGAGATGTATGTATATTTTCATATTGTATGTTAGCACGATTCAGGTATCAATCAAATATCTCCTGTTCTATGAGCCCTCAGACACAGCCCACTGAATTTCTCGGCGGATCTTCTCAGTGGGTCGCATTTCCGATCCGGTGGTAGATTTTGCGAAGCACGACTCTTGTGTTAGCAACGTCATCAGGTTTGAGCCCCGTAAGCTCACCTACTAGTTAACTCTATGCTGATATAGCCTCTCAAGGCTCTCAGCTTAGGTAGGAAAAAAAAACTATTCTATGTTAGAAACCGCTACAAATTGCAAAATCCGTAAAGTTGTTAACTTCGTGCTTCTAAACTTAAGAATAAAATGCGATGACAACACACAAATCGTACATAGCTAAGTTTTCCATAGCCGTATAGTTTACTCACGGCGAGTATAAAAAAAGCGATTAGTAATATTTGTAATTCATAAAATGCTATTAATCAAATGAACATTAATACTCCGAAATTATCTTCGTCGGTCAGACTCGGCTTGTATTGTTGTGGTCCAGTGAAATGGCGGGCTGAAAATTAGAGTGGTTAATATTCATGTCATAATTAAATTTAATATGGTGTTTGTGATTTTAAGAGCATATGCCATTAGATATATACACATAATCATAGTTGAGACTGGACATCAGTTGGAGAGGCCTATGTTCAACAGTGGACAGTAGACAGGCTGAGATGATGATGATGATGTTGATGATAGTTGAGAACCATGACCATTTATCGTTATCCATACTACCTGCAACGCTTGCGTTCATCCACAGCTCGTTTTCAGGGATCTTATCTGCCACGTAACATCAGACTTTCAAATGTCCCCAGTACGGTATGTCCCAAGCGCTATGAGGTTAACGATAGTAATACCTATCTGTGCATATTAAAAATGCGCCATACCATTAATAAACTAGTAGCATAGTTACCGGTAAGGTGTCTTGGGAACCTGCATGGGCAGGTACCACCATTACCACCCTGCCTATATCCTTAGCGAAGAAGTGATGCGTTTCATTTTCAAGGGTAAGGCAGCCGTGTTATAAACGGACACTTGAAATATAAATTTCAAGATGTGTGACGGCATTTAAGCTGTTGATGTCTATAAGCTACAACCACTTAATAATAGATGGGTCGTGAATTCACTCAGCCGTCTAAGCGATAAAAAATTGTGCAAAAAAGGCTCAGAATCAGGCTATAAAGCTTATCACCTTTCACAAAACCCGGTATCCTAGGTACTTCCATACCCCTCCATCGCTCTAGAAAGCTCCATCTAGGTACTGGCAGAATTGGTATTGCTAATTTTGTGATCGATGGCTCAGTGGTTATAGTTTTCAGGATAGTTGTGGTCGAAGCCGTTGTAGCCGGAATAGCCCAAGTCTTATGTTCTGAATCAAAAACAAAAAAATAAATAACAAAGATCCATTACAAATTTCTAAATATTATCTGATAATATAAAGAACTATATGAAACTAAAACTGCACTTTGTAGTGAGTTTTATGAAATCTTCTTCTCTATAATATATAAAAATGAATTGCTGTTCGTTAGTTTCGCTAAAACTCGAGAACGGCTTAACCGATTTGGCTAATTTTGGTCTTAAATTATTTATGGAAGTCCAGAGAAGGTTTAAAAGGTAAATAAATATGAAAATGCTCGGAAATTAATAAAAATAACAGTTTTGTTTTTCCTTTGATGTGTCCTCCGTCGGACCGATTCCTTTTGTTTGTTTTAAGGTTATTTTATACAAAAGTTTAGGTATTTTATTTATAGATTGAGGCACTGCGAAATTTGCCGGGTCAGCTAGCTAAGAATAAAAGTCTAGACAATTTACTTGTTGCTAATAATAGACAGAGCCAGTCTTGGTCCAACTAGGTAAGTGGGTACAAGAATCTATTGATACTACTACGAATGCGGCTTGAAATATAAATAATATATCATTTGATAGTAAGATATTACAAGTGCGGCTAGTAACAGCTTATGACTTTATGATTTCGGATAATAGTCAAGCTTAGGCAGATCAGTAGCTCATTTCATTTAGATAAGCTAAGCAGGTAGTAAAGAGGAAAATTGAGTAAGCAGCTGATAGTTTGGTACACGAGGATTGGCTCGAGGAGCCGAGTTCGCAAACCAAGAAGAAGGGAGGATAAGCTGAAAATTACCTCTGGACCCGTTTGTATAAGAGTAGCAGTAGACAGAAAGTAGTGAAGTTTGTTGTAGCAGAACTTCAAAGAAAGGCGCATCGAGACGAGTTATATTTTGTAGCGTAGATTTTATAGTATTAAATCAAATCAAATCAAATCAAAAATTTTTTATTCAACATAAATGAAAGTACATACTTGTTGAACGTCAAAAGAACTACCGCCAATTCACAAGAACTAGCCTCCGTCCTGAGAAGAATTGGCAAGAAACTCAGCGGGCATGTTTAGTATTAGTATAAGTGTAGATCTCACTTTTATATTTTGTTTTTATAAGTACCATATTGTTTTTTAGTCTACTTGAAATTGTTAGTAATCGCTGTAAAATGTTCAGGAAATAAATGCGTTATTACTATTAACTTTAATAAGCAAATCAAATATACACATATACCTATATATACTACATAATAATATAGTCATTGACATCAACACAGTCAAGATAGACAGATTTGATTTTCTATACATAGGTAATCAAAAACTTACTTCCATCAGATCCTAGTCTTTTTATTCTGACCGGTTGCTTGATAGCATCTATCAACGAATCCCAAGCGCTAAAGAATTCGTTCTGAAAATGTTTTATCTACTTTTAGTGATGGTAGGAAATGTAAAAACGAGTTCTTGTCACGAATCTGCCTAATTTGCCGACTAAGCCATAAATTCCTTTTCAGAGCATATACTTATTCCAATTTCGTTTTAGATATTCTATACCATTTCTGGAAATTGCGTTAGGATATCGATGGGCTCCGAAAACTTTTCTAGACTAGGTCCGTAACCTATTCTAGTTATCTTAAATTCATCATCTTTTGATGTGGAATAACCATCAGCTCGGGCCTATAAAACCAACTCTTACGCCGTGATGGCGTGCGATAGGACGTTCTTTTGTGACGTCACCCCATATCTACGTCACCGCTTTTGATTCCCGCAAGTGCGTATTAGGTATTAGTGTGTATTAGGCACTACGTTGCATTACTGGTGGACCGAAGGCCTTTCCAGTTTCACCAGGACAGGTGGGCGAGCAAAGGCTCAGCCAGGAGGGGTGGGATTAGCTAACAGCTGCCCGAGCGCTTCCGAAGGAGACCTAGCAACTCGAGCGCAGCTGCTTCGCGAATGAATCTACTACCAGATTGGAATCGCGACCCGCCGAGAAGATCCGGCGAGAAACTCAGCGGGCTGATGCACGGGTTAGGTTGCACGTCGAACTCTCTGTTTAGTTCGACGAATAAGATTACCGGTGTCCTTGAGCCTGCTGCTAGTGTTAGAGCTAAAGCGTCTAATGTAAGAGTTATTGGATCTGATGAATCCGTAAGGGAAGTGTCTAGATTTTTCTGTGCGCAAAGTGACGTAAAAATGAATTGTTATTTTTGTAGATGATTAGATGGTTGTTAGCATAATACTGAAATGTCACGAATAGAAGTTTAGTCATTCGTAATTACAAAAAAAAAAAANTGTAGATGAATAGATGGTTGTTAGCATAATACTGAAATGTCACGAATAGAAGTTTAGTCATTCGTAATTACAAAAAAAAAAAAACATAAAAACTTTAAATCCATTATTAAGTTTAATAACGCACATTCAATTAAATTCGAAATGTGATCTATCTTGCAATAAATGTGTATATTATTACCTTAACATCAACTGGAAAGTTACCGAAGAAATCTTCGAGATCGCACACGACGCTACCGAAAACGCAGATTAGCACGAATCCTTTCAATACTCGATCCTCCATGGCGACTGAGCGGGACCGAGAGGACGAACACAATGGCAGAATCTACACAGCGATATTATGTAAATACTGTTACATTTATTTTTATAGGGCTTATCATAACATGCAGAAGAGTCATTCTCGGAAACAAAAGACGAACTGTTTGTTAAAGCTTGGTCTGGTTTGTAACAAATATGTTCACGTGTCAGCGTATGCTATTTAACTTAAATTAAGCTAATAATATCTTCACATTCTCGACTAGCGTGTCCTAAAAATAGTGATGCGAGATAGGGGACGATTTGTTTTTGTGTAATCCACATTATGGTAGCTACATTCATAAATTTTCGTGGCTGCTAGCCGTAGTTACATATTGTTACGCGGGTAAGAGTAACACCATCTATCGTTGAATAGCAGAAAAGAATATCAAAACAACTGGTAATATCGAGAACGCTCGAGAAATGCAACGCCATCTATTATCAAATAGCTTAAACACATACCGAAAAGGCCTTCCCGAGAATGTTCTCGATACTTCTAGGGATGTCGTATCGATTATAAAAGCGTTGCAGAAATGACCCGAATCTAGTTAGTAATCGGTTCTATTAGAAGCGAAACAGCGAACGGATCACTTGAAGCGAAGAGGAAGAAGCGAATTACGAATTGTAAAGGGCTCTGTAAGTGTTCTAAGTGTTTAACTAAATAGAGTTTTGATTTGTAATTCGGTGATAGTTTTATTTATCTTCAACCCTAGTGCGTAACGATATTAACATTTACTAGAGGTCCCGCAGTAGTCGAAATTCGACTATAATAATTGGAATTGTAAGTTTCTACATTATTATGATTGTATTGTATACTTCTATAATCACAAATTTCGCCAAGGCTACACTATAAAAATATTAACAAAGACAAACAATATTTAATCTATTCTCAGTTTGACAACAGACGTCAAGAACAAAAGTTTGACAATAAATAGTATGCATGCGTGTTGCGTCAAATACATGGTATGTAGTGTCTGTAATGTTTTCTTTATTGATTTAATGTATCTTTTATGCGTTTTTTTAAAAAAATATTAGCATTGTGCACTTCTTCTCTATATTTTCTATAAGTGTGGAAAATTTCATACTCCTCCGTCCGCGCAATTTTCGTAAAAAGGGATACAAAGTTTTTGCTTCACGTATTATTAACATTTATTGTAGAACAATGGACGCCAGTTATGTTCCAGCTCACAGTTGAGGCTGCAAATGATTCAGTTGGCCAGGATATATTGCTAGATACTCCAGAGACATTATGCTAAGAGCTATACTATTCCACGCGGTCCATTTAAATCCGCTACGGACATTACGAATCGTATCATTTATCCTCAGGCGAAGATTACGTTCCTAAGTCAACCAAAACAACGGTCTCATAACTTAGAGACCTCCAAGGCCCGACGAATCCCCCAGATCTCACTGAATCAGCCGCTGAAATTTATTCAAATCCCTTCCTTTTCATAAAACCAGTTATATCAAGGTGTTTTTTTTTTCTGTTGATGATAAGGAAGTGTAATATAGATAGACAAAATAGTTAAATTAAAAAAAAAAATATGGCATAGAATTATTTGAATGAGCCTTTCTATTAACTAATCACTAAATTTAACGTTATTGACAAGATTTAGTGCTATTAAAAAAACCCGATAGAATCCACTTTATTTTCTAACTTTCAAAAAAAGAGAAAATTGAATAGAAACAATAAATGTTAATGTTAGTGACAATAGTCAAATTTTGATAACGGCGTGAACAGTGTTGTAAATGTAAAGAAAAACCTTTATCATTTAAAACTCTTTAGTTTTTAAAAATGATTTTTCTTCACTGTCATCCAGTGTCATGGTGCGAAGTCTGTCATTGAATAAAAAAGGGAGCTCAGTTTTGTATAGTTTATTAATGCTTTTTACTTTTTAATTGTTAATTTTGGTTTTAAAAGAGACTAAGGGATTTAAATGTTGTTTTCCTTTTATATCGTAGAAAATACAATTAAGTGTTTTATTGTTTATTCCTTCTGAAGTACTCCATATCATTATACAGGGTGTTACAAAACTACCCGTAAAGCCGAAAGGAGCTTAAATGGGGCCTTATAACGAGTCCATTCACAATATTTAAGAACCTTAGTAATGCTGTATAATATACCCCAAAAAAATAAAAAAATATATTATTATATTCACTGATGTGAAAATCCTATTTCAGTAAAAATAAAAAGTAAACTAGGGACGCAAAATGTACCTACGCAGAAAGTACGACAAGTACTTGAGTATAATGACATCCTTGTATTGAGGTAGCAAATATTTATGAATGAAAAATAGAAAAACAATTAAAGTAGACAATTATTAGGTAAAATGGGCACGTAGGCCTTACTGTTAAATAATCTGCTTCCCTGACATGACAACATATTTGGCTTTGACTAGGTTTGACAACATTTTTGGCTTTGATAATTAATTACTAGGCGATGACCGAGATAAGTGGCTTAACAACACCATCTGATGAAATAGCTTTAGTGTTATTGTGTCTTTAAAGCAGTTAGTTGAAATTATGAAAAATAGTATTATTATTCGCCAATAGTTGTCGGGAAGAGTTGATTATTGAAAACACGAATAAAACAACATTTTCTGAAAATAAATCGTAGCTAGATCGATTTATCGCCCCCGAAATCCCCTGTATACTAAATTTTATGAAAATCGTTGGAGCCGTTTCCGAGATTCAGCTTATATATATATATATATATATGTACAAGAATTGCTCGTTTAAAGGTATAAGATATTTCTTACGGGGTATTTTGTAACACGTTGTAAAAAAAATATTTATGTCATTAAATCGGTTCAAATTAACCATTTTGTCTATGCTTTGGGTGAAACTTACATAGACTACAAGAATAACCGACCTCAGAAATCAAGTATTAACTGTCATGAACAGCAACGTCTACGACCGGAAATCGAATTCGGACTCGTGGGTCCAGTTCAAAGGACAAAGGTCAAAGGTCAAATCTAAGCTGTAAATTATCAATATTTTTACAAACTTTCCTACGATGACACGAAGATTTCGTCTACGGCCCGAAAGTCGCACGTCAGTGACACTACTCGTGAACTCAGTTACGCTGACTCAACTGTTGTTGGCACACCGGGAGGAAGACGGCATAATATTTAAATACTTTTTATTTTGTCTAGATTGGCTTTGACATAATATCCGCTGCGCTGGACAGGAGGGAATAGAGGAATATAGTCCAAAGAAAAGTGCTCCGTAAAGATAACGACCCTCAGCACTGAGGAACACGACGCAAGGAGTAGTAGTATTTTTTTATAAAAGTAAGTATTTTTTTTATTGCTTAAATAGGTGGACAAGCTCACAGCCCCCTGGTTTTAAATGGGTACTGGAACTCATAGACATCTACAACAAAATGCGCCTCCCACCTTGAGGTATAAGTTCCAAGGACTCAGTATAGTTACAACGGTTGCCCCACCCTTCAAACCGAAACGCATTACTAATTCATGGCAGAAATAGGCAGGGCGGTGGTACCTTTTTTTTATTTTTTTTCGGGTAAAGTGCCGAACCTTCTACGAGGTCCCCGCGCAAAAGGGGCGCGCGGGGTATGTGAGACTCTACGATCTGCATGGTGTTGTGAGCAGACCGCGGGCCCAAGGATTTTAGGGCCCACCCACTAAACGACTCCCCTGCACTCTTACACCCGACGTCCGATCGCCTCCGAGGTCAGAACCCGGATGAGATAGGGTGGCTACCGCGGTCAACACTGCAACCAGACGGCGCGGCTCACCCCAAGGACGCCCAGCCGACGGAGCCTTCGAGGCGAATCGAAGGCTCTGAAACGTCGGCCGTCTCGGTACGGCAGCCCGTCGGACCGCCCAGACGATGCCGCTGGTGTCCCGGAATACCCCGCTGGAGGGGCGGTGGTACCTACCCGCGCGGACTCACAAGAGGTCCTACCACCAGTACTCGAGTATCGGTAAAGTACAATACGAGTTTAGAGAAAGCTGGTCTTAAGTGGTTGCCGGAATTACTCGTTGTTTATTGATATTAAAACGCGCGGGCAGGTACTTAAAATGAGACGGGTATAGTAGATTGGGGAGAATAGAGACTAGAGTTAGAATAGGGACAAATCTGGGATTTCACAATACTTTTATTGAGTTGTTAGATTTAACTTTGTTGAACTGAAAATTACTTTTATTTAGTGTTTAAGAATATTAAATACTTTAATTTAGTCATCAAAGTTTTGTAACTCATTAAAGATATTAAAAAGCTAATTACCTAAAGTTAGGTAGGCTAACAACTAAATAGTGTCAGCTCTATCGAAATACTCTATTGTCTCCATACGTAACACCACAAAGCCAAGGTGAATCGGGTCAAGCTAGTTTTATAAATTTTTGTGAATATTTTGTAATGAGCTATGTATATGATGATATAATAACGCATCGTATATAAAAATTTAAGCCTCCGGAACCATTTTAATCTCAATTTTATTGGTATTAATTACCCTAAGAAAAACCATTGAGCGTTGGATTAAGAAAGAGTCCCGATTACCCCCCCCCCCATCTACGGTATTTTAGAGTTCGAAATACTCTCTCAAACGTAAATGCCGCCCAGCAATCGCATTATAAGTAATATTAAATTGTTCGTGGCATAAATAGGCAGGACTATATTCTATTACTATATTCCATTAAATTCAGAAACGCTCACATAATGGAATTTAAAATTTTTATGTCTTTCCAGCTCAATGTGACGCCAACCTAAATAAAAAAAAGTTACCCTAACTACTTGGGAGGTGACTCTCGCTTTCGAAGTGCCCTACACTGAAAAAGGTTTTACAAGTCGCTCGAAAAAAATGTTTACGTGTTTTGTAAAGAGAGTGTTTTTTACTTGTCATCGTGCTTTTAATTTCTTTTGGGCTTGGCACGTGTTTTATTATTATTATTTGAAAAGGTTTAAATTTTTTATTAATCTTATAAATTTAACTCGACGTAAAGCGCGGGAACCCGTTTAGGCAGATAATAA